AACGTCTACTCCAAAAAAATGTGCAATTGGGGAAGGTCACTAATGATATTTCATTTGCAACTTAAACACCGTCTGCCGATATATGGGCACGAACTTTTCTTTTTATGCTCAAAATGAGACACAGCTTCGAAATAAGCCATTGTAAGGAGCAGACACCAGTGACTGTCTCCATTGTAGGGAGCTTTTAGACTACTTTATATGGAAATCGTTCATCCCATGGTTGCAACAGCAGAAGACGACACAAATTGGTCTCATAGTTTCATTTTCTCATTGTTAACCTTTGTCTTCAATTTCTCAGCGTGCGTGTAAGCATATGTAAGCCATGTTTGAATTTGAATCATAAACTTCAATAATAGTTCATTGATTAGTTACTTAAAGCCCTTCTATGGCACTGATGGATAGTCTCCATTGAAACAGGCTCTCTCAAGAGACTACGTTTTAGATGGTGCTACGCTTGCAGAATATATATCCGCTAGTATGCTGGAGAATACATCAGTACAATGAAATATTGCACATTACTTCTCAAAGACCAGGTTTCAAGTGTAGTGTAGTCCTCATCCCCTCCGTTTTACTCTCAGTTGTTCCAGTATTGCAATAGCTGTCCAGCCAGATGCACGTATAAATATTCTGTCTGATAGAGTCATTTGACATTCAACATGAACCACTTTTCAGGAACCGACAATCCTTATATGCTACCGCAATAAGAATCAATATCTAAGTAACGTGTAACTCCTTGCTTTATGCTGTAATATTCAATAAAATCTGTTCTAGGAAGATTTAATAGTCCAGTAGTCCAATAGTGTCGCATGGTACTGCATACGAATGTAATTTTGTGTCGATACAACAGCATACAATACACCAAATGACATTTTCCATCTTAAACACTAGTTGCTTACAGTCTCAGCGACAGTGGTGATACTCAGGCTTGATTAATCCTCACCACAAACCGCTAGTTTTCTTGTCAGAAAGATCGTGAACGGTACTTAAGAAAGGACAAAGGCTATGTTCTTTCTATGCAGTTTCAGGCAGCCCATTTTGATATAGTGGTGTAGGTGCACAAAACATATGCTAAGTTTATTTCTCAGCGGCCTGCATGTTGTGTTAGCTTTTGGAGGAGTGTGTGAACAAGGAGCTTTGGAAACAGGCAAATGGTTTCTCTCCTATTCTCAGGACAAATATAAGTTTGTTTGATCGTTTCCAAACTTTACACCGCTGTTACTGATTCACGCCTTGAAATTGCTCTCTCATAAGATGCGTTTAATCAAATTGAGGAAAGAAGCTAATGACTCAATTTAGCAAACTACAGCAGCGTTGACCTCGACACATAATCAGGGGAAATAACAGCACCATGCAAGTAATTTTATTCTCGGATACAGGTGAGCCCAATAGATGTGAAGAGTAAAAGTGAAGGTTTATCTTGTCAGACTAACTCTTTCAGCCCAAACCGCTTAATCCACTCCCCGATCTTCTCTTTTGAAAACCTGAGCGGCAGTTGTGGGTTAAGAAGCCAGTGGGCAACATGTAGGAAAAAGATGGGAGGCAGATCTGCTTCAACGGAGGAATATTTCTTGGCAGGAACGTGTGCTTGTATGACAAATGTTTGAAAAATTGCAAATGCAGCGGAGTCACAGATGAGAGGCACTCCGCTTACGCAAACAGCTCAAGATGATGGTCTCAACAAACATAACACAGTGAATGTTTAAGTGCGGGAGCGCCTCTCTTCGTATAATAGAGGTTCTCGAGTAGCTTTGTACACAAGGGCCAGCCAACCAACGGTGAGAATGACAGACAGGTATACTTTGGCGAAGATCTATCGTATATTTGGACGGAAGAAGGAACAGACGAAACTCTCATTCCTATGTAGTTCCAAGAAACACCTGCCAATTTCTCCTATTCACTGTGTGCTTCGTAAATGGCAACTTATGAATATAATATATCAAAGTATTTCCAGTACTTAAATGAGGGAAGATATAGAAACTTTTTTTAAAAATGCTTATTTGGTGAGAAGCTTTCAGAAACCTAAACGGCGTTCCTTCTTCAGGCAAAGTATTGACGCATAACCGGGTATAACAGTCAAATGAGTTGCAGTAATTCCTTAAGCCCTGGCAAATGTTTCGTACATGACTATTATTATTATTAAACGAGAAATATCGTTTGGGATTCAGCAGGCTAAGAAAAAAATAAATGTTTTCCACGTTGCAAACCGTTCTTTATTTGTCTGTTATCCTTCAGATTTTGATAGTGTTTGAAAAATATTCGTAGGTAGGATGAAATTTGTCAACTCACACAGCAAATATGCAGCGTGGTAGAACTTGTTTCGAAATTTTAGTAGAGACCATCACTTATTCAGCTAATGAACACGAAAATCATCCAACCAACAAAACTGGTTCCACACCCTACCCTTCAAGTGCCGTCTCACTTACGTGTGAGAAACAGGCAATACCACACACGAGACGATGATATAATGATACCTCAATAACCTGGAAAGATTGTGGAAAGCCGATCTGCCTAAGAATAAACAAGCACAAAAGTGAAGAGAGTGAAGGCAAAAAAAGATCCGCAATTGTTGAAGAAGAATTGCGAAAAGAACTGGGAGTCTGCATACATACAATGAAAGGACAACATTGCATTTTGTGGGACGAAATGAAAGGAATACAGCGAGAGTGAAAATACGTGAGTTCGAAGATAAGGAAAGCATTAGTAATTCAGCCGAAACAATGTGTGAATGAAGCTTTGAGAGGAAACTACCACCCAGCATCCACTGTAGGGTTTTAAGTTCCAGAGTGAAGTTGCTACCTGAGTATAATAATTCATACTGTACCATTCTCTGTCATGTGTCTTTCTTTGAAAACCGATCGAGAATGATCCGAAACGTTTAAAAATATTTTTTTTATAATGCATTCGACAGGCGATGTCATTAGATAAATAACTTTCGCACAAAAGACGAAACTTCCGTTTTTATAAGGTCGATATTGAAATCGCATAGGTGAGGGTGTAAATCTATAGACGCATACGGGAACGTGTACTTGCGTGAATTTTGCCAATCGGGTAGGAGAGCAATGTATGAAGACCTGTCATTCTTCAGCTAATAATTCTATTTTACCAACCATTACTATTTGTTCGTTACTGAGTGAATTTTAGATGCAGCTACATGCTCGAAGAGTTCTAGACTAACGCAATCGAAAAGCTAGAAAGTCACATGCGATGACCTCGGAGACTAACATTTTTATTAATGTACTATAGTTGCAAAAATGTTTAGTTGAAGTAACACATCGGTAGAGCATATCTAGTCACCACTGGTAAATTTATGTTGAGTGATAATAAAACACAGCACTACAATAGAGTTACTTCCGTCACTGCGGAATAGGAGAAGGTAACTTGAGGGACATAATCTAAATGATTACACGTTGTGTACCTCTTGATCTTTACTTCGCTGGGAACTCGTACAGCCAAAAGTGCCTAGCTTGAGATTCAAGTTGAAATTTCATTTCTGCAGGCCATCAATGCTCTCTTCTTAATTACGTCTGAAGCTTCTTTGCAAACTTTCTGCATGTCTCGTAAAATTTCTGAATTGCTGCAGTTGTAAAGGTGCCTTTTTTTGGGCACGTCGTTGTGCAGAACATATGTGTTAGCTTTAGCTGTCGTTGCATGTGGCAGCAGGTTGTTTCCAACTAAAGCGATGTTTATGTCTGAAGTACTGAGTGCATTTTCATTGGCAACGTCATTTGTTGTGTGCTATTTATTGCTTTCCTGGAAACACGTGCTGCCAGTTCAGGTACTGTACCGTTGGTTTAAACTTTAACTAGTGACGTCGTTGCATATGGTAAGTTATTTTCAGGCTTACTGTAACTCCTGCCTGTCCAATGGCCTTACACTTATTTCCACTCGATTCTCAGGAATGCACGCTGGAAATCGAAAGCTGTAAGTTTCGTGTTTCTATTTTTCACTGGCGCGAGGTGCACCAGTAGCAGAAATATCTGGTCAAACTTCCATACAGTAGACGTGACCGTCAAGAGGTTCGAATTTACTTTCATGCATATGCATACAGTAATCTATGGATTGCTTTCTGATGAACTGTAAATCAGACGAAAGCGTAACTGAAAATGCAAGCACAAACTCGTATAGGTACACACGATATGTGGAATGGCCATCTTCTCTCTGGTGGACCTCGCCCGGTGTTGACAATATGCCGTTTATACGTAATCGCACATTATAGATGGATATTCAGAAGCCGACACGAAATACAGATGGATAGGCGATGCCAAACCCGTCACAATGGACGAGGTTTCGCTGCCTCAGTTTTATGTTGCTCATTTCTCAGTACGCGGCAGAACCATAACCTTGACCACAGGTACAGCTAGGTTTCACTTCTTTCTCGTTGTACTCAGTCCGTCCTTCGGCCGTAGCCACATGCCTGTGAACTACAGGAATTGTTTTAAGGTGACTACTCCCGCCTTAACGTAAAATTCGTCTTCGTACGGAACATCGGCTTTTACCTCATGCAAATTTATATTCCGTCCATGCTGATCGTCATCATCTCTTGGGTGTCGTTCTGGATACATCGTGACGCATCGCCGGCTAGAGTAGCACTCGGTGTGACCACCGTTTTGACGATGACCACTCTGATGACCACCACTAACGCCAGCTTGCCAAAAGTGTCCTACATCAAGGCAATAGATATTTATCTTGGCACCAGCTTCGTCATGGTGTTCGCCTCTTTGCTAGAATACGCTGCCGTCAGTTACTTGAACAAAAAGATGAAGATGAAGCGCGAGAGGAAAAAGCAGAAAGATGCCCAGAGTCAAGAATTCGCCATTTTGCCAAACCAACCTCCAAGAAGACAAATGTCGGTGAGTGCAGTTGCAGTGGTTGTGATTTACGGATTAGTTGCAGATCATGAAGGTTATGGGATTAACTTTTGATTCACTGATCAAGCCGGTTTTCTGCTTCGCGGTGTTTAGTGCATAGTGGAGAAATCGCCTGGCCTTGTTTTATCCAGACCTCGTAAACGGGAGGAGCATAAACCATCAGTGAGAAATAATGAGGAACGGCTCGGGACTTAGTTATATTTCTTCTAAGTTCAGCAGATACCCTGATTCGGTAAGAGGCAGAGTGAATAAGCAACGGACGGGTGGCACTGCCCCAATTTGTACTTGAGCATCTGCCCTTTGAGCGGAACGAGTTTCAAAGCATCGTTGTGTTTTAGGGTACGGCCGAAGCTTCCTTCTACCCCTACATATCAAACAAGGCGCAACGAGACTACCAACGACTAGTGGCCGGCAATCTGAGTCCTCCAGGTTCTCATTTCGAGTGCGAGTGCGACGTAAGCTTCCAGCCGATTCCAATGAAAATAACCAAACCTCGACTTCGACGGCGCAAGTTGCACAACGTCACTCCGAGTTCGATAGATAAATACTCGAGAATGCTGTTCCCTGTGATCTTTGCAATTTTTAACATCATCTACTGGATAGTATGTTTCTTCGTCAGCAAGAGGCAAATCGAGAAAAAGCTCTCACAACAGTGACGTACCTCGAACTTCCGTCTTACTGTCGATTTCGCCTTAAGTTCTGTACGAAGCTTCACCAGCAACGTTTCCGTCGATCATCCAGTAATTCTTGCATAGCAATTCGTTTATGTAAATTGTAATTGATCAATAAAGACAAATGTACATCACGCTGTTCCGATGATCGAGCAAAGTGTTCGTAAGAACGCTATGCCATGAGAGTGTTCGGGAACCAATATTTCTTGCTGGTGCACCTCTGTGACTTGCGCGACAATTGTTGAACTTGCCATTGACGTGGCTTTTTGTCGTAGATGGATACTCAGATGCAGACATCAAACTCTTCTGGGAAAGAGGGAAGGATTCTGTCACCATAGGTGACGAAATTCGACAGCTGTCAAACTTTGACCTGGTGGACGTGTACATCGTAGAACGAAAAATTACACTCAGCACAGGTAAATTCCCTCACCTTTAATCTTGCTATTTATTATTATTCCATTTAATTAATCACCTTTATCCTAGCTATTAAAAGCCTTATATAAAAGGAAATGAACAGGAACCGTGTTCACAGTAAATTTCAATAATATTCTGCCCATATTATTTCATGATATTCTGACGCGTTCTGTCAAAGTGATTTTAAAAATAACACAACTGCACAATCTTACTAGAAATTCTTACGATAGCAAGATCGGGATTTGTGTTCTTAAGAGTTTCAAAGCCATGATCATTTATTTTAAGATGATGTGCGGCCTAAATTACGTGTACCCAACAAGTAAACAAAGTTTCTTTAATTCAGTAAATAACGTTGAAAGTTGCATGATTTTCGTTACTAAACCGAAACTACAAATATGCATCTTTGCCTTGGGTTGATGCACATCCTTGCATCACCCGTGAGTTTTTTTAAAGCTAATGAACCCTTGAACCAGGGCACGTATTACTTGAACCCCCCTCTGTGTATGAGTGCAAAAAGAAATCACTATGATAAATGGAATAAGAATCTTCCAAAGTTCCAAGAGAACTGTTGAAGGAACATTTGGGCTTAGCAATAAAAATCGCTCACATTTAAGCGTTAAGTACGAAGTGTCACAACTTTTACACGACCTACTTTCGTTAGCAGACGTATACAAGTGCTTCTTCATAATTAGCTCAACTGCTTTCAAAACGGCTGCCAGAGATGTGCCCGTCGGTGTTCTCAGAGCAGTGGCAGTTTTGAGCACATGCATGACTAAGCCGGAGTGTCTAATGGTTCTTCAGTATGGTCGAGTCTGAGTTTCAGAGATATGCGTATCAGCAGAAGTGACTATATTTGAACGAAAATAATATTAAATGTCATTACAAAAGAATGTAAACCGCCCATCTGATCGACAGATCGACCGCATAATTCACTGAATATGCTTGGCGAGACATGTGGATAAGAAATCGGTCCATCATCCAGTGGTGGATCAATCAAAGCCACTTTTGTAGTGATCAGAAGTCTGACGAATAGAGAGACAATTACTGTCGTTACAATCAATTACTATGTTTATACCTTTAGCAACCTTACCTAAGCACTCAGCGTGCGAACCTCTTGTGTATAAAACTACGCAGAAAATAACATTAAGTTGCACACTTACAGAACGTTACGCAGCAGTTCGGATACACCTCGAATAAATACTAGGGAGAGAGTCAATTTACAAATGCTATTTTGGCAAAACTAAATTCAGGGCGTCCAAATGCTTAATTTACCAAATAATTTCCTGACCCATTTTTATCAGAAGCAGACAAATAATATGAGACGGAGATCTCAGAGCTAAGAATATTGCCTTATTTTGCAGTTCTGCATCGCATGATTTTCATCATATTCCTATAAGTATATTTTGGAGTGCATGACGAAAAATTGAAATATTTTGAATTGAAATATATATAGTGAATTTTTGAGGTTACAATACTGCATTTTCTGCTACCGATCGCATCTGCAAAACTGAATGAAAGAAAAGGTTAAGATCCGATTGATTTACGTATCAACACTGGAAGAACCAGGCTAGCAGAAAATCAATCCAACGTTGCAGATGTGTATGATAATTATCCTAGAAAAGTCGTCAGGTTCTACAAGTTGGATTTCACAAGAGGTGACTGCAATGTGTTCACTACACCTCCTCATGTTATATTTACTTTATGTTTTATACTATATTATACTAACTTTATTAGACGTAATCTCGACGTTTTCGATCAAATTTGGATCCACTTCCAAAGGGTATTACGTAACAACAATATTGTCGATCTATTCTTGAATCGGGTGCATCACCCATCGCAAATCTGATCGTTGGATCCGTTGAAGAAGCAGATCGCATACGATGCTATCTTGGACCGGGTCGTCTCGCAGTTTCACAAGTCTGGTCATTGCAGTTCAGTCAGAATCCACTCGACCGGGCAAGTTTTAAGTTAACATCTCGATACCAAATGAAGTGCACAATGCTTCATATGGAGCAGTCTGCTGAAACAGTCCTCTCTTCGGTCGCACTTCTGGACCTTCTGGGCCGGTCTCAGTTTCAAACTCGCCTCAGAACCCTCGATCAAGCCAACAAAGCATCCACTTGAACTTTACGCCTTCGGTCCTCCCACTAACGTTCTTAGAGCTAACTCTTTCACCGAAGTTTCTTCTAT